ATATATACATATATATATATATATATATTATACAAGAGTATTGAAAAGAATATATCACTGAAGCTCAGGCAGAAATCTAAAGCTTGAATTGCTGCGATTGTTTATAATCATGTAAAAACAAGAACCGTGAAAACAGTTAAAATTTATTGCTTTCGAAAGAGTAAAGAACTCTCTATCAATTCTTGTTAAACTGTTGTACTGACCATTGAACAAAAAGGTTCGACGTCTTAGCTTACGCACACTTTTAATTATTATTATTTAAAAACTTTACCCGTTACTATTAGAGAAAAAAGACTAAAGCAAAGCAGCCGAGGATCACTCAATTGTCAAACAATATTGATAAAACAGGAAGTTCAGGTCACAAAGAAGTGATTGTTCATTCCGGTTAAAGCGGTTTGCAGTTGGCACCTTTAGGCTTTCTTCCTAAAATTGTTGTTATGATTGAAAACCATAAGTGACTTGGTATTGGCCACTGCGGATACCAAACAGCTGGATTAGAATTATATGAAGCTAAGTAGTTATAATAGCACGTTAGAATAATCACTTCTTACTTATGCCGTTTCATCATTCAGAGATGTTAACTTGGTTGTTGTATTTCAAGGTTATTGCTACAACTTGATTGGTCAACAGTATAGTCCAATCATTCCATTCAGTGAGATCATTCAAATCAGAGAAAACTCACTCTTTCACACCCCATAGATACTAAAAGATTTAGTTTATATACTTCAATACACCGAAAAATGGTCTGAAATTAAACTCCTGACGCGCGATTTTGTCCTATTGGCTGCTCGTAAAAGAATTGTACTTGCTATTCACTACCAAACTAGCCAATCAGCGCGCGCGAAAAGCACTATAGTTTGATTTTTCCCAAAAATTAAGGTCACTACTGGGCTTAGACTTGCCTATCTCCAATTTATATGTAACGTACAAAATTACCCAAGTACAAACCCGAGAGGAATAATGCAGAAATACACTGGCTAAGAAATAGAATACAAATAAAAAAACCGAGGCCTGCAAAAGTCATTTTACATACCATGTGACCTGTGTACACAATGTGTTTTGCTCTTTAACTCCCNAAGGTCAACTTGTCGACGTCCTCTTCACTCAGATATGGGCTATTCCCCCAGCCACGTTTCTCGAGATGGAGACCAAACTCTTCCCAGGTTTTGACCTCGCTGTTTTCACCTTTTCGTGGATCTCTTGGCCGTATCAATAATATTTCGCCTTCTCCAACTTTGTTGCTGTTTTTGTAATATTCGACTTTAAATCTAGTGGAAAAAAGAAACAATGAATCGACAAACTACTGTTTTGAATTCAAGAGCTGATAATTTTCATTGAATGTTATGTTGTTTTGTGTCGTGTTGAAATTCTCTTACTTTCATAGTGAAAACAATCTATTACTTCAGCAAGATACAAAACCTCGAAAGAGGCAGCAATATACCAAGGAGAAACGACGCTCGCTGAAGAGGATTGCATTTGACAAACTCGATCCTAAACGTCTCCCGATACTCAAACGGTAATGAGGATCAGATAATTAAGAAGAGACTCGCTATCCCTAAGAAATAGAAAATATTGGGACCTAATTCTCTCTTCCGCCAACTCAAGGCCATATTCCCCACTAGGTATACCCAGTTTCAATTTCAATGATTTTACTCTGTATTCTTGGACCCTCGACTAACCGCTCGAAAATGCGGGGCTTACCCTGATTGAGGGTTAGCAGGTGTCGGTAGATTCAGACCTGTTTAAAGCGGAACTAGACGACAAAGAGGAGATGGCAATAAATTAAGGAGTAGCTACATAGACACGTACTTGAAATGTCGCGGTTTCTTCTCTTCTTTCCTCTTTCCTTCTTCTGGTTGCTGAGGTTTCTTCTCTTCTTTGCTCTTTCCTTCTTCTGGTTGCTGAGGTTTCACGAAGTTCTCCAACAGGTCTGAAATGACGTCACGACCACCCTGGCCAAGAAAGGAACAGTTCAGGTCTCTACGAGCGAGCATTAGTGCTTTCAGTAGGCATTCTCCATACTCATTTTCATTAGAATAGGAACCACCATCCACCACGATAATTTTCTTGAGTTGTTTCTTTAACAATGGCAAAATACCAAGATTTTCCACGTGGCCTCCATCGCTGAGTAGCATCACGGGAGGAGGCATGGGTCCGATGTTGTCAATGGAAAGGCCTTCTCTCACGAACCTCACAAAGGAGACGTGCACGATGAACCACCTTGGAAAACAATAAAATATGTATAAAAGGGGGTAAGTCTCTGAAAAAAATGTGGTACTGCGTCATACCCGTGACGTTAGTCCATCGTCATAGCGAGATATATTTGAGGAAGGAAAGTTTACTGAACTCACGAATAGTCGTTTTTTTCAAAAACTGAGTGACGTTGAACTTTACCCTTCAGGACTGCATTGGTTTTACTCAAAATCCTCGACTGCCTTTAAAACCAACCAGATGTAAAACTAAGGACGACAAACTTTGCCCTGTTCATTTTTCTTGCCTTGAGGCTGGTTACATTCAACGATTTACCACGAGTGCACACGGGTTCGTTCAGATATTTCCTTTTGCGCAGATAAGCATCACTGACTATTTTGGTTTGGGTCTATTGACACACCATCGTAGTGTACTTACACAATAATTACAAATAATTAAGAAGAATAAGCTACCTTTCCATAACATCAAGATATGTTTCGATATTCTAGTCTTCTTGGATAGAGACGAATAAATGGAGGTCTCGTCTCCTGCAGGGTTAGGGGCAGGCCCGGGGGGACTCCCATATGAAACAGACGGGGATGCTCGTCGTAAATTTTAAATTTAACCCCTAAAGGAGACCATCTGGGTGTGGCTTAAGCAAAGTTTGACCCCCAAAAGAGACCACTCATGTTCATGAATTGTCTCTTTGGCACTTGGTAAAATAGAAAACTAGTTAATGTTGAGGTAATACGGTAAAAAAAAAACAAGTTAAAAA